CTTGAGTGTGGCTCTTCCACAAAATACCACATGCAGGCACGCACGTACAGTGTGATTGAAACTTCATGGCCCGTGCGCAGAAGTCGGTATTTTGTGGAAGAGCCACACTCAAGGGGCCAAAGAGCCGCATGTGGCTCGCGAGCTGCAGTTTGCCAACCACTGGTATAGGGGAACTATTTACCATGCAAGTTTTCAGATGCCGACCAAGGGCCAACCTTTAAGCAAACCCTTTGAAGGAAAGCAGTTGTAGGCTTGCTATGTTAACTTTTTTGATTACTGCTTCTTTCTGCAGTCTTTTTCATGTTTTAATTTTACTTAAAATTTTAAGATTTTGATATCTTTGGGAATTGATTATCTAAATCTGTCTACTTTTGTTTATATTGAAATTTTCTATAATCAAAAGTTTAAAAATGTTTAAAATGCATTGTTCCCCCTTTTGAATGTAAGATTAAATTCCAGGGTTCTTAGTTTGAAACTTAAGACTAAAGATCCAATCTTTTTTCTAAGTCTTATTTCCTGTATTACTGAGTATCAATATTCTACTGCCCTTTCATCAGCCAGACCAGTATATTTTGTCTATCTTCAAATCTTACCTATCCTTTCAAGTTCTACTCAGGTTTTTCATTTTCCATGAATTTTTCTTAACAATCCAAACCCATGATGATAGTATTCTGTTGTCCTCTGAAGAACTATAGAATTTGCTCTCTTGTCTGTATTTGGAGTTTAATATATATTGCCTTGTCTTGGAACTTTTGTATGTAGGCCTTGTCTCTTCAACTAGATTCATTATTTTTTCAGCCAACCAGCTAATCAACCAACTAAAAACATATTGAATAGTATTTTGGAAAGCCTCTCTCTCTCTCTCTCTCTCTCTCTCTCTCTCTTTAAAGCATTTTGAGGGTAAGAATCATATCTCTTTATTATTTTTTATTGGAATTCTAGTTAAACCTATGTTGAATTTTCTTATTTTATCCTCTGTGATTCTTTTTTAAAAAAAATAAGAATTTATTGATTTTAGAGAGAGAGAAAGAGAGAAGGAGAAACATTTAGCGAAACATCTTTTTGTTGCCTCCTGCAATGCTCCCTACTGCGGCTCGAGCCCCTTTGCCCCCCATGTGCCATGACCAGCTATCAAATCGGTGACCTTTTGGTGCATGGGACAATGCTGAACCAACTGAGCCACACTGACCAGGGCTTCTCTGACTCTTACTTACACTTTTATAGTTTTCATATCTATGTGCTGCATTATGGATGAAATCCTCAAATCTATCTAGTTTACAGATTTTCTCTTCAGCTTTGTCATTAGCTGTTTAACTTCTTACATTGAGGGTTTTATTTTTAAACCCTGTATTATAGAAAGTCTCAAATGTATAAAAGTAAATGTAATACACTTCCGTCCTTCCATCCAGGTTCAGCAGTTATCAACCTTCCAGTGGAAGGCAATTGGATTCTGTTATCTGTTTCTATATTCAATTATTGCGATATCACATATCATATATCCTCTGGAAAACACACTACATTCCTTTTAGAATGATAGTGAAAAAGGCAAATAACATCTTAGAATTATTATGAAAATAGTTTGAGTTTATGGATCCCCTGAAATAGTTTTGGGCTCTCTAGACCCTACTTTGAGAACTGCTCTCCACTAGCATAAGAACTTTTAAGTCTTTACCTCATATGGCTTTAGGGTGGGTGTTTGAAACTCAGTGCCTAGTGCTTATATTCAGTTAGAAACTTCTATGAAAAGTCAGGTAACTGCTTTTTTTCATTCTGACTTTGCTTCCTTTCTTTATTTCTGGAAAGTAGAAATTCTTTTTTTCTATTGAATTCATCTATGAAACAAATGTTTTGTTATAATTTATCTAATCAGGATTTATCAAATTCAGGGTTATGTATCTCATTATGTCCTCAATATCTGGTACCATTCTAAAAATGTAGTGGTAGACTACATTTTGGGATGTTATGCTACTTGGGGATAAAATAGTGACCTATTAAAATTAGTCTCACACTATTTTACTGGTAAGTTGGAGGGAGTAATAAAAAGCCTTGTTTATTTTCTTAAGAATGAACCAGAGGTATCTGAAATAATTAAAAGGAAATCTAAATACCACCTAGAGAGGAGATAGGATTAAATATTTAGGTATATCAGTTACATGTATGAGAGAGCAAAAAGCACAGATTCTGTGGAGGAGCTTACTGTAAATATAAAAGTTTTACTTTCTTTTTTGAATACTAGTACTCCCTTGAGATTTCTGTTGGCCACTGGTCATCTCTGATCTCTCATTTACATTTTTTTCTTTATAGGAATATGCACTTTCTGGTTGGAACTTGAATAACATGCCTGTCCTAGAGCAGTCTGTTCTTGCACATATTAATGTAGACATCTCAGGTATGAAAGTACCATGGCTCTATGTGGGAATGTGTTTCTCTTCTTTTTGCTGGCACATTGAAGATCACTGGAGTTATTCCATCAATTATTTGCATTGGTATGTATAATCTTTGTTAACAGCATTCATACTTAGTAACCTTTTGAAGGTTTACTAATCTTAGATTATATTATTATGGAGAGCTGAATTTAAAAGTATTTTTTATCAAAGTAGCGTCATAGCTCAGTTTGTTGGGCTTTCATCCTATGCGTTGAAGATTGCCAGTTCGATATCTGGTCAGGGCACATGCCTGGGTTGTGGGCTCGATCCCAGGTAGGGGGCGTGCAGGAAGCACCCAATCAGTGTGTCTCTGTCTGTCCCTCTCTTTCTAAAAGAAAAATCAATAAAAAAAATATTTTTTTAAAGTAGGATAATATATTAAAGAGAGAAATACTGTGGTCTAAGGATACAGCATCTTAGACACCTTCCCTTTTAAAGTATGTGCATGCCCAGGAGCTTAGAGTTTTAGACCAAATGATACTTGTTTGGTATACATGAAAATTACTTTGGCATATCTGTTGATATGCAAGGGAGGATGGTCAAAGTTTATATACTTAAGATCTGATTAAACCTTCCATATTTGAAAATTTCAAGTGTTTTTTTCCTTTTTATATGACATTTTCCCTAGACATGCCTGAGTTACATATATATTCATTAAATTATTTTGTTGAATTTTTTGGTATCTTACCAACAGCTTACTTAGTTCCTTGTCCAGTATTATCTTAACTAAATGATATTTTTCTCTTCATATCCAAACTACTACTTAGATCACACTTGCAATGGAAAACTCTAGTGGTTTTCATGCTCTACTTTATCATTATGCTGTGTAATGTGATAGCTGCTAGCCACATGTGGCTGTTTAAATTAATTAAGATTAAGTAAAATAGCCGTGGCTGGTGTTGCTAAAGGGTTAGCATTGGCCTATGCACCGTTGGTCAAGGACACTTGGGTTTTGGGTTCCCTTCCTGCTCCCCAGTTGGGATGGGTTAGGGTGCATGTGGGAGGCAACTGGTTGATGTGTCTCCCATATTGATGTTTCTCTTTCTTCCTCTATCCTTCTCTTTCACTGTCTCTAAAAAAAGCAATGGAAAAAATATCTTTTGGTGAGAATTAACAAACAAAAAAGATTAAGTAAAATGAAAAATTTACTTCCTTAATTGCACTAACCACATTTCAGGTGCTTTATAGTCACATGTGACTAGGGGCCCCTGTATTGGCCAGTACAGATATAGAACGTTTTCATTATCATAGTAAGTTCTATTAGAGATGGCACTGTGAATTGTATTGGGATTAAGAAATTGAGCTATTCTATAAATAGCATGAGTACTCTTAGAAAATTAAATCCATTTCCTAAGAGTAGAACTTGGTATTATAAATGAACTCTCTAGTGCACTAAAGTCTAGTACATTAATGATGGCAAGTTTTTGGTCCTTAAGATTTATAGATAGAAGGTTTCAACAATTTCTAGCCTTGTCTTATTTCCTTGGATAGTAAAGTTGAACTCAGTGAAGTTATATAAAGGTATTCTAGAAAGCATTGACTTTTACTTTCATCATTATGGTAATAATTAGAATGTTCAGTGGACCTGTGAATTGAGGTATGTCAGTATCCTTTGGAACAGTGTGTACTTCTCACATAGCATCTTTCCTGTTTGAACATACTATTTACTGATGCACCTTAAAGAGTTCATATGTTTTGGAATCACTTTTTTTAACAGTGATAAGTGTGTATCTATTATGAACAATAGTACAGGTTTATGAGATGGTTGCCAGGATTCATGGCTTATAGTCTGTGGCCATAAAATAAGACAGTTAATTATAATTTAGTGGATTTGAATCAGAGAACTTGGCCTCATTGGCACCATGCTCTACCTGGCTAAACAGTTAATTTCTTTTGCTAGGGGGGAGCCAAAGACATGGTATGGTGTACCATCTCATGCTGCAGAACAACTGGAGGAGGTGATGAGGGAGCTGGCTCCTGAGTTATTTGAATCTCAGCCTGATCTTCTACATCAGTTAGTCACCATCATGAACCCCAATGTATTAATGGAGCATGGTGTACCTGTGAGTCTTTTTGTGTCTCCCTTTAGTATTTTAAATTTAAAGTTATTTTAGCTTTTGATCAGTAGAGTTGCAGTGCTTTGTTTTATAACTGGAAGTAAAAGGTCATGTCATCCTCTGGCTAAATTAGAATTTGTACTCTGAAGGGACCAACATCTATTAGATTGAGAAAAGGGTGTTTTAAAGTATTAATTATACTTTATGTATAGCTATCTATTAAAATAGCTTTCTGTTCTCAGTAAACAATTGTATCCTGGTTTTAGCAAAAATCTTATATTCTTTACTAGAGGCCCAGTGCATGAAATTCGTGCACGGGTAGGGTCCCTAGGCCTGGCCAGCAATCAGGGCCAATCGGGGCCTTCTGGCTGCCGGCCAGGGCCTCCCTTCATTTTGCGCCATCCCCTGGTGGTCAGCACACGTCATAGTGAGCAATAGAACTCCTGGTCTCCTGGTCAAACTCCTGCGGGGACACTTTGCATATTAGCCGTTTATCCTATATAATAAAAGGGTAATATGCAAATTGACCCTAACAGTGAACAACCGGGAACCACCAGTCACTATGATGTGCACTCACCACAAGGGGGCAGACACTCAATGCAGGAGCTGCCCCCTGGTGGTCAGTGTGCTTCCACAAGGGGAGCGCTGCTCAGCCAGAAGCTGGCTCATGGCTGGCCAGTACAGCAGCAGTGGCGGGAGCTTCTCCTGCCTCCACAACAGTGCTAAGGATGTCCGACTAAGGGCTCGGGCCTAAGCCGGCAGGTGGACATCCCCCGAGGGCTCCCGGGCTGCCAGAGGGATGTCTGACTGCCAGCTTAGGCCCGATCCCCCCAGGGAGCCTTCAGTCGGACATCCCCCAAGGGGTCACAGTCTGGGCTGAGGGGATCCCCCACACCTGAGTGCATGAACTTTCGTGCATCGGGCCTCTAGTATATATAGATTATCCCTATTTAACCAAAGTTTAAATATTTTAAGTGGTAGTTCTAGTAACTAATGCTTATTCTTTTGGATATCATATTTCATATAAAGATTTCACAGCTTTGTTTTCTACATGCTATGATAAACACAATATCTTTTCTGTTTTTCAACTTAGTTTTGAAAATTATTATTAAATTTAAGCTACTAGCACCTGATAAAGTATAAATTTGATAAGTTTGTTATATTCAGTCAAATATTCATCAAACCTTAATGAGACTAGATTAGTGGGAGTGTTACTTTGTCCTTATGAGTGAATTTATATTAGAATCTGGGGCTTTTAAAAAAGATAACATAGTATTACAAAATGAAGTGAGATTTAGAAAAACTGATATTGGGGATATCTCCATATTTATATGAGATAATCAATTAGACCAGTTCCAAAAAATTATCCAAGAGTAGGAGGAAGTTCTATCCTTTACCTCTATTTACAGCACAAGAATAAAAGGAATTAAGTCCTCTTCAATGTAAAATTTTATCAAGTTACTAGAAACTAGTAGCTTAGTGAGAATAACATTTTCTCTTTGAGAATTTCTTTTGGCTGCTAATTTTTGTCATGAATTATTATAATTTTGTTATTAGTGACTGCTAGTACTTTAAGAAGGTGGAATTCTGGCTGCTTCTTAAACCTGATACTGTTTTCTAGTGTGTGTAGGTTAATTCTTTATTTAGTTTTAGAAAATGCTTCTGAAACTGACTGATCAAATCTGTCTCCCTTTTTTGTTGTTTTTATTTTGGTTTGTATCACTATTTTGAATTTGCATTTAGGTGTACAGGACCAATCAGTGTGCTGGAGAGTTTGTTGTGACGTTTCCTCGTGCCTATCATTCTGGATTTAATCAGGGCTACAACTTCGCTGAAGCTGTGAACTTCTGTACTGCTGACTGGGTCTGTTCTATAGCAAGTAGCTGTTGTACGTCTACTAACATCCCTGGAAAATGCATCTAGTTGCCATATTTCCTTAGGTGGGGAGGGGAGGGTTCATGAATATTTCAGTAGAGACTGGAGTGGCTGTGGTAATTTAGAAAGTTCAGTTAGAGTTTCCATTATGGTTTTTGGAAAATTTTCCAAATTTTCCATTTGGAAGATTTCATAGTTCTTATTTATTCATTATTTTCCCCATTCTGTTTTAATTTTAAATTGTAGTTTATATTTTCTGAATTTCTCTTTTCTGAGAGAATATGGTTCCTTAAGTCTTTGCTTTCTCTGAGCACTTCGGGATTTTATAAAGATGACCAGATCTTCTTAAGAATGCTACCATATTTTCAAATATCTAATTCTATGCTTTTATTTTTAAATATCCCTTTATTATTTTCTTCTGGTGGACAATTTGGTGTTTTATTCTTCCTGCCATTTAATGTTTCTTTATTCCCTTTCCTAAAAAACTATTTTAAAGAGTAACTGTAATGTTGAGATCTCTATGGACTGAACTTCTTTGTAAATGATAATGCCAGTAATTGCTATTTTGTTTTTGTACAAGGTAATATAAAAAATATTCAGTTATAATTATGTCATGTTTGTTGGGGAAAGACTGCAAATTTATAATACAGTCTTTGACTTTGATTTTCTTAGTGATGTTATTTTTCTATCACCTCTCAACATTTTGAAGGATATTCTTTAGTAATATTGGATCTTATACTTTTCTGTGGATACCTTAATTTATTAAATTTCATGATTAATCATTTTTGTTTTCTTGGCTAGTGAATGAAATGATATAATGAACAATCTTATTTGATCTAATAATTTTAAAATTCTTTCTTATTAGGCTTAGGAAGCAGTAAGAACAAGACCAAATTTAGGACTTTGCCTTGGGTTTGAGCTCTACTTAAAAAATTAGCTAATACTTATTAACTGTTTATGATTTACTTGCTCCTTGGTTAGGTGTAGGGTGGGCAATGGAGATGATTCAGAGATTAGTTAGAGATGGTTTCTGCCTTTAATTTGCTTTAAAAAATGTTTTTATTGATTTTAGGTGGGGGGGGGAGAGAGAGAGAGAGAGAGAGAGAGAAGAGGGAGAGAGACAGAAACATCAATGATGAAAGAGAATCATTGATCAGCTGCCTCCTGCAAGCCCCCTACTAGTAGGGATTGAGTGACCTCCTGGTTCATGGGTTGACTCTTAACCACTAAGCCACACTGGCTGGGTTAATTTGCTTACTTTTATTGTTATTTGGCCTTGGGCAGCTTTTTAAATTTCACTGGACCTATGTATGTAAAGATACTAAAACTTACTTAATAAAATCACACATTTGAAATGATATACGTGAAAGCTCTTGATACTCTTTAGAAGAAGGCTGTGATATAAATGTTCAAATGGAGTTTGTTATTCTGTCTTCTTTATAATAAAAAAGAGGATCTGGAGGGTAAATAGTGGTTCTGTTCTGGAATATGCTATAAGCAAGTAATTTAATTTAAGAATCTTGTCTTGTTTTCAGTTGCCCATTGGGCGTCAGTGTGTCAATCATTACCGACGGCTAAGGCGCCATTGTGTCTTTTCACACGAGGAACTCATTTTCAAAATGGCAGCAGATCCAGAATGCTTAGATGTGGGGCTGGCTGCAATGGTGTGCAAAGAATTGACTCTGATGACTGAAGAAGAGACACGATTAAGAGAGTCTGTTGTACAAATGGTGAGCACATGTCTGGTACTTGATATTGTTTATGAAATAGAAAAAAATTGAACCTATAAAAAAGTATTGTTGCTGATCAAGTTCATCCTATCATTTTGATGGCGTATCCCAATGGAGATGGCTTCTTCCAACAAGACAATGCGCCATGCCACGGTGCTCGTATTGTGCAGGAGTGGTTTCAAGAACATGAGGGAGACTTTACCTTGCTTAGGTGGCCCCCACAATCACCAGACCTCAATCCAATTGAGCATTTGTGGGACGAAATTAAAAGAGCCATCAGGCAGCTGGTTCCACAACCATCAAATCTCACAGGACTGGACAGTGCTATTCATCAGGCATGGTGTCAGATTCCTTGCATCACTTTTCAACATCTCGTGGAGTCAATGCCAAGAAGAATTGCCGCAGTATTGAAGGCAAAAGGTGGCCCAACGAAGTATTGATGGGGAGGTCATAATAATCTGGCCACTCATAGTGTGTGTGTGTGTGTATCCCATGTTCAAAGGCTGTTAAATCGCATTGTTTACCCATATCTTCAGAAAAAAATCACTTCTACTGTCGTAGTAAACAACCTGCTTCCCTATTTATAATGGTCTGGCCCTCTAGCAACTTCAGCGCGAAATTATAGCTAATTTGCCTACAAATGTCAGGTGGTCTTAATCATCTGGCCACTCAGTGCATATTAAATGGAAGTCTTTGTAAAATGCCACTTTAAATGTTTTTATTTTCTTAAACTGCATGCTGATTAACTTTCTTTTCTTTTTTCTTTTTATTTTTTATTGATATTAGAGAGAGAAGGGGAGAGAGAGAAAAACATCTCCCATCGATTGGTTGCCTCCTGTACATTTCCTCGGCTGGGAATCGAACCCACAATCTTCTGGTGCATGGGACACACTCTAGCCAACTGAGTCACACCGGCCAGGGTGATTAACTTTCTTTTTGCTATCTTTCTGAAGTAGATTACATTTGATTTGCACAGTTTAAGTAATTTTATACTTCTTTATCCTTGCATATGTTTGTACATATCAGCATTATTTTCAGATCATAGATTATTAATGTATCTGGTTCAAAGACATATTGTCCATGGGGACAGTAATTTTTTCTTATTTTAAAGAGAACATAAACATATAGCTTTATGAGTTGTTACACGGTAAACTTTGTTGTTATCACAATTCTGGTCAAGAAATAGAACTTTGTCAGACACTCAAAAGTATCTCCCAATTACAACTTCCCTGACTGTTTTGACCTTTGTAGTAATAACTTCCTTGCATTTTAAAAATAGTTGTATCAGTCAGTCAAATGTACATTCTTAGATACCAAGATTAAGTCCTGCTCACTTAAAATTACTAATGATTATTTTTAGAAAGTATTTTGATGAAGTGCCATTGTACCTCCCACATTTATATCTTAAGTCAGAGATTTACCCATAGAAAAAAATTTAGGCACTGGCTGGTTGGCTTAGTTGTTTAGAGCGTTGTCCCAAGAATACACCAAGGTTGTGGGTTCGATCCTTGGTCAGGGCACATGAGAATCAACCAATGAATGCATAAAAATGTGTAACGACAAATTGATGTTTCTCTCTCTCTCACCACCTCTCTTTCCTTTCCCCTCTCTCAAATCAAAAGATAAAAATTAAATTAAAAAAAATTTTAAAAGTAGGTTCTTTGATGCTTGAAAGACTAGAAAGACTTGATCTTATGACATTAATTATATTTCAGGGTGTCCTGATGTCAGAAGAAGAAGTGTTTGAACTTGTTCCTGATGATGAGCGACAGTGTTCAGCATGCAAAACCACATGTTTTCTCTCTGCTCTCACATGCTCCTGTAATCCTGAGCGGCTTGTGTGTTTGTACCATCCAACTGATCTGTGCCCCTGCCCCATGCAGAAGAAATGTCTTAGGTATCCAGAAGTTTCTTGTTAAACTTCCATTACCCTCTTTTAAAACCAAGGATTAATGTTGCTCTTTTTGTAATTCCTTTCCCTGTGTCTGGGCTGGTAATTTCTTACCTATCTACCTTTCTGCTTGAGAACCAGTCCTTTAAAGTTGGCCCTAAACTTGGGCAACTAAAATTAGTTTCTTTATCAGTTGATTTCACATCTTTTTTATCTGTGGTTTCTCTGATTTCTCTTTATGTGTACCAAGACCCCATTCCTCTGGCCATTGTACTTTACTTAAGCTGATTGTACTTAAAATTAAATTTACTTTCAAGTTGTTGGTTTTTGAAGTTTTTATTTCCATGTTGTTTTGTTTTGTTTTTAGATATCGCTACCCATTAGAGGACCTCCCTTCTCTGCTATATGGTGTGAAAGTCAGGGCACAGTCCTATGACACTTGGGTCAGTCGAGTTACTGAAGCATTATCTGCCAACTTCAACCACAAGAAAGGTTACACTGAAATTGTCATTTTGAAAGAGGCCTTTTTTAATGTGTTTTTCCTCCATTAAGCAAAAATCCTAGGCTTTGTATGAGATTTGAGACTAATGGGTTGGTTGATTATAGTCTTAATTTTCTGTTTGAGAATCTTTAAGTGAAAAAGTTGATGTAAAATGGGATAGATGACTAACTTCCAGTAGATATATGTTTTGAAGAGCCATTGTTACCAGTAGACCTAACATTAAAGGTTTATTGAGAAAGAAAAATTGCCTTACCTGAGAGACATTATAAGAATTAGGAATATGCTTTTATTGCATTAGTGATGTTCTCTCACAGCTGTAGTAGGTTTTTGCTATTAGGTTGATGATTCACTTGAGAGAGGTTAAGATTTACAAGTGACTTTTTATGTCTATGGTCATAGTATATGGCTTTTTTATTTATTTTTACAGATTTGATTGAATTACGAGTAATGCTGGAAGATGCTGAGGATAGGAAATACCCAGAGAATGATCTCTTTAGAAAACTCAGGGATGCTGTGAAAGAGGCTGAGACCTGTGCTTCTGTGGCTCAACTGCTTCTGAGCAAAAAGCAGAAACACAGGTAAGACTAAGAAGAGTTGAATTCTTTAATGGTTTCCTTTTTTTTTTTTCTTCCCAGAGTAAAAGCCAAAATTTCAACTTGCTTTTGAGGTCCTTCATCAGCTTTGACCTCTTCTGTCCATGTCCCTCTCTCCTCCAATAATGCCCTAATCTTATCTCCTACTACTTCCTTTCTTGCTTGCTTCATTTTGCAAACCTCTTCCATTTACTGTTCATACACACCAGAAGTGTTCCTGCTTAGTGCCTTCACACCTGTCTTCACTGTTTTGAGTTCTCTTCCCCTGATATCCAGATGTCTTGTCTCCATACTTCTTTCAAGTCTTTTTCAGATGTCACATTCTTGTAGAGGCCTTCTCTGACAGCCCTTTATAAAATTGCAGCCTTCTTATGCTTCTGCTTTATTTTTCTCCTAGCCCTGTCACCTCCTGATACACTAATTTTCTTATTGTATTTATTGTCTATCACCTTTCATTCCCAACTAGAATGTATGTTTTTTCATTGCTATATTTCTTGTGCTTAGAACAATGCCTGACACACAGTAGCTGTGCAATAAATATTTGTATGTAAGTAAATAAATAATACGGTAGGCTGAAGGCAGATGGCAGCAAAGGGTAACCTTGTGGGATTCAGTGGAAGCTTGTTATTAAGGAGCACAAAAGCATTTGCCCTTGATTTAGTGTAATTCATATGTGTTACATTTTCTGTAGTGTTTCATATTCATCCTAACACATTCTTTGTGTCCGAGTGGTTTTCTCTATAGCAATTTACATTGGGTTTTAAATTATTGTGCACCTTTTATCTACCATTTTATCAGAAAACCTTTCTTAGAGACATTGATCAGCAAATCTTCACTTTGCAACCCTCTTGGGTCACTGACTCCCTTAGAAAATCTGGTGAAAGCTTAGGAGCCCCTCCCTCCTTTTTTTTTTTTTTTTAAAGAAAATATACACACAAAATTGTGAATGAGCTTCAGAGGGTTTATTGTTTCCTAAGCCAGGTAAATTTCCCTTGTTCCTCATCTTAAGCTTCTTGAGATAGAGGATTTGGTTTTATCAGTGAACTTAATATTTTACTGTGAAGAACTTATTGAATGTTTAAAATATTTAGTACTTGTAAGATTGGAGGAACTAGAACTTGGAGAGTTGAATCTTTGAGCCATTAACTATAGAGCTAAAAAACCTAATTTGGAAGTGATCATCACCATTGCAAGTGGAATCGTCAAACATAGTATTCTGGGATTGCTTGGGTGAGAATTATAAAGAGATTAGAGGCCCTTTGATATCAGAATAACTGAATTTTTCCTACTTATGTCTTTATATTATTTTACATCAGGCAGAGCCCTGATTGTGGGAGGACTCGGACCAAACTGACAGTGGAAGAATTGAAGGCCTTTGTCCAACAACTTTTTAGTCTTCCATGTGTCATCAGCCAAGCTCGACAAGTAAAGGTGAAATATTACATTCTTTAATTGGGTAATATCTTTTGTATTATGGGCTACAATTTTGGGTAAACAGAATAGTGTGTCTAGACTAGTTTTTTGTTCTCTTTTCTTACATAAGTGCTGCTATTTAAGGTTTTTTTAGTGGGCAGTAAGGATCTCTTGGTTTCATTCTTAATTGTAATTCCCACTTTTAAATTCTGGAATTAAAGCTAGTTTAGAATTTTTTTTTCTGTATTAAATTTAGGTCAGAAGCCCCATTAAACTTAGATGTAATTGAAATGCAAGAAATTAGTTAAAATAACCTGAATATATCAGTGAATTATTAGTTCATGAGTTTTAAAAAATGAAGAGCTCTGACATTATCAGAGCCCTGATGGTTTAATGACAATGTGAAGTCAAATATATTAAGTAGTATATTTCAAATATATTACTCTGCACAGTTAGTAATCTTTTGATGGTTTGTGGGTTTTTTGTGTGATTTGACTGTGGGTAGAATATCTAAAATGTTTTTTTTTATCATGGTTAACAACTTGTGAAATCTCATATCAATAGTATTTTGTCTTACTCCAGTTTGTAAAAGCATTTTGATAATTAAACATACTTCCTTCCTGAGAGATTTTCTTTTGATTTAAAACAAAATGTTTTTATTGGGTTTTTTTTGAGAGGAAGGGAGAGGGAGAGAGAGTTAGAAACATCAGTGAGAGAGAAAAATCACTTTGATTGGCTGTTTCCTGCATGTCCCCCTGCTGGGGATCAAGCCTGCAACCTGGGCATGTGCCTGATCAGGAATCGAACCGGTGACCTTTTGGTGCTTGACCCAACGCTCATCCACTGAGCCACACTGGGTGGGCCCTGAGAGATTTTCTTCTTTAAACATCTGTGACACTGTACTCTTTGTTTTTCTTAGGTCATTCATAATTCCTTTTCTTTAGTCTTCTTTGTTGATTGTCTTCTCCTTGGTTTGATTTCTGGTTGTGGAGTATATAAGGAGTCTCAGTTCTTTTTTAAATCTTCACCTGAAGATATTTTTTCTATTGATATTTAGAGAGAAGGGAAGCGGGGAGTGGGGCTGATGTGTCTCATATTAGAGACACATCAATTGGTTGTCTCCTGCATGTGCCCTGACTGGGGCCAGGGATCAAGCCAGCAACCCGGACATGTGCCCTGAATGGGAATCAAACCCTGACCTCCTGCTTCATGGGTTGACACTCAACCACTGAGTCATACCGGCTGGGCATCTCAGCCCTTCTTTTTTTTTTTTTTTTTTTAAATATTTTTATTGATTTCAGAGAGGAAGGAAGAGGGAGAGAGAGATGGAAACATCAATGATGAGAGAGAATCATCGCTTGGCTGCCTCCTGCGCGCCCCCCACTGGGGATCGAGCCCACAACCCGGGCATGTGCCCTTGACCGGAATCGAACCTGGGACCCTTCAGTCCACAGGCCAACGCTCTATCCACCAAGCCAAACCGGCCAGGGCAGCCCTTCTTTTATTCTTGGTCGTGATCTCTTCTTATTTGTCCAGTCACATTGACATTAAATATCACCTATATTCAGTTGAGTTCCAAATCTCCAACTGCCATTCTTTTTTTCCACAGACTTGACTATCCAGTTGCATATTTTACGCTTCCCTTTGGAAGACTAAAAGGCATCTAAAAGTGTTTTAATGAGTCAAAAATTTTTATTCCTTTATTGCCCTTCTACCCCACATCCAATCTCTAAACAAGTGCTACTATTATCTCCAAAATGAATCCCAAAGTAAACCATTTGTCATTAATTTCATTGCTTAAACTGCTCTAAACCACTAGAATCTGTCCTTTAGATTATGACAGCAGCCTCTTACCTGATCTCCTTTCTATTCTTGTCCTGACAGTTTATTTTTCCTTTAGTAGCCAGAGTGATCATGTAAAATATAAATCAAATCACATCAGCCCTAGCTGGGTTGGCTCAGTGGATAGAGTGTTGGCCTGTGGACTGAAGGGTCCCAGGTTCGATTCCGGTCAAGGGCACATGCTCGGGTTGCGGGCTCGATCCCCAGTAGGGGTTGTGCAGGAGACAGCCAGTCAATGATTCTCATCATTGATGTTTCTATCTCTCTCTCCCTCTCCCTTTCTCTTTGAAATCAATAAAAATATATTTAAGAAATTATAAAAATCAAATCATATCACTTCCCCATGGTTAAAATCCTCTAGTGATTCTCCAAAATCAAGTAATTGAAACCCAAACTCATAATCTACAAGGCACTGTGTAATCTGACCTCTGCTTATTCAACTACATTTATTCTTCATCTACTTTGCTCCCTATCATTCACTTTTGAGCACCAGGCTCATTTCTGTTTAAAAGCTATTGCAATTATTATTTGCCCCGCCTGAACTACTCTTTCCCAGCTCTTCATAAGGTTCCCTTATCTACCTTTTCATTTTTATTTTGGTTCATCTGTCTTTCAGACGACCATTGCAAAGTAATATGCTCCCCTTCTGTTCATTCTCTATTGTTGCCCTATTTTATTTTTATTATTACTATTTTTTATATTTTATTGATTTTTTACAGAGAGGAAGGGAGAGGGATAGAGAGTCAGAAACATCGATGAGAGAGAAACATCGATCAGCTGTCTCCTGCACACCCCCTACTGGGGATGTGCCCGCAACCAAGGTACATGCTCTTAACCGGTATTGAACCTGGGACCCTTCAGTCCACAGGCCGACACTCTATCCATTGAGCCAAACAGGTCAGGGCTGCCCTATTTTATTTTTATAGCATTTTAAAAAACTCTGACATTTTATTTATGTATCCAGTGACTGGCCACTTATATTGAAATGTATGTTTTTGTAAGATAAGGACTTTTTATGTTTTGTTTAATGCTGTATTTGTTTAGTGCCTGCATTTAAGTCAGAAGTCATTACATATGTTTTAATTAATCATATGTTAAAAGTTAGGACTATGTAAGTAATTATAGAGAAGCATATTTATGCCCTTAACTATCATATCCATTTGGTACTATCATGGTGAGATTATTAGATGGTCTAGAATTGATAATTTTGCCTATCAAAACTATGTATTTTATTGCCTATCAGATATGTTTATTACATAAACATTTTTTATCTTTTATATTTATTTTTATTTTTATTCTTTTGGCCTTTTCAGAATCTGCTGGATGATGTGGAAGAGTTTCATGAACGTGCTCAAGAGGCCATGATGGATGAAACCCCAGATTCTTCTAAACTCCAGATGTTGATAGACATGGGCTCTAGTCTCTATGTGGAGCTACCTGAATTAGCCCGCCTAAAGCAAGAGCTACAGCAGGCTCGATGGTTGGATGAAGTAAGACTGACTCTATCAGATCCACAACAAGTCACTTTGGATGTCATGAAGAAATTGATAGACTCTGGGGTGGGGTTGGCTCCCCACCATGCTGTGGAGAAAGCAATGGCTGAACTACAGGAGCTCCTTACAGTCTCTGAGCGATGGGAAGAAAAGGCTAAGGTCTGCCTACAGGCAAGGTGAACACATATTGGTGACTGTTGCCTCTATAATAACTAAGCCAGATAATAGAATGGGAGGAGGAGCATAAGGGTCTATTTATTTCAATAAATATTTTGTGTCTTCCCTGACCAATCACTAAGTTATCAAATGAGTCTACATATAGACAGTTTGTAATATTGTGTGCATACTATATGCAGAGTACTTTGTTAGGTACTTTAAGTGATACAAAATAGTATTTTGTTTAGAGCCTTCCATTACTGATTTTATAGTTAGGAGCTAAGAAATATAAAGCTCATTGCAGTATGTTATTAACTGAGGGGTACAGAAAAGTGCTATAGGAATTCAAAAGAGGAGAGATCATTGTTAGCTTAGATGATCAAAAGAGAATTTTGAGAGAAATGTAAGAACTGAGAGCCTTGAAAAATGAGTAGGATTGAAGTGGAAGAGGAGGCAAGAAAAATGTCATAAGCTAAGTTTAAGGTATGAGACAAACGTTAAATGGGCTTTTTTGGAGTGGAGGATTTATGTAGGAAAGTAGTGGGAGATAAGAATCAGACACAAGAACGTTAAGCAGTTGCATTAGTGTTGGCATCCCATTGGATTTGTGAGATTTAAGTAAAGCATATTTGACTATATATCAACTAATTTGACTAATGTTCTTGGTGAAAGTCTTTTTTCAGCAGCTAAGGTTTATATTTATATAATTTCTACTGTGAATATGAGAAAACTGGGATGCTTAAAAGAGAGATCACATAGTTATTAAATAACACAGCTCAAATTTAAAGCCTTTTCCACTTTATTCTGAAGTCTCCATGTACTTACTGCTATGCCAGCCACTTATTTTGAATGGATTTGTTAGGAAAGCCTTAGATGATTTAATTAACACAGTTCTGCTCTGCCAAAAAAGGCTCCATATATATTGGATATTTTGCTCTCCAGATGCTATGGAAAATACAAACTATATTTATTTATAGCTTTTCCTATCTAAGATATTCCTGTTCCTTCAGATTCATGGCACTTCGGGAAGTGTAAGCATATTAAATGGAAAAAGCTAAATGACTTTGGAATGCAAAATTAGGATTTGGTATATCTGATGCAATTGATCATAGTTGAATGAAATTTGTTTATAGTGATCTTTAAAAACTTTATTTTTTCCCATTTTTCTACATTTAATTAGTCACCAGGTTTTAGTGATGTTTGCCTCTACAATGTCTTTTATATCTTTCTTCTTTAAGTTCCCTGCTCTAAACAGAACCACCATTCTAGTGGGGAGAGACAGTTGAATAGTGAAGGAATGAATGAATTTCAGATATATAGTGTCACAAAGAAAATAAAATTGGTAAAGAAGTAGGGGGTGATGGGGTTGGGGGAATGGTGGGAACTAGAATCTTCCCTTTTCTAACTCTTGTCAAAGTTACCTTTCTGAAACATATTCTTACTATTTTTCATTTCTTAGTACTGGTTAACTACTGACCTTTGTTTTCTTTTTAATTTATTGATTTTTAGAGAGGGGAAAGGAGAGAGAAACATCGATTTGTTGTTCCACTTATTTATACATTCATTGGTTGATTCTTGTATGTGCCCTGATTGAAGATCGAACTCCTAACCTTGGGGTATTGGGATGATTCTCTAACCAGCTGAGCTATCCAGCAAGGGTCTGATCATTTTTTTAAATATCTTTCTTCTCTCTCTGCCTCTTAAATAATGACTTTCCTCAATATTCTGGCCTAGACTGCTTCTTTTCTCACTTTGTATACCTCTCTGGAAATTTTTGCTAACTTCTTGGCTCCATTTACCGTCTTTATACTGATTAATTCCAAATTCTCATCTATAGATTTTTTTTCATAGATACCATTTGTCTATTAGATAATTCCGTTGGATGTTCCTCAAATTCCCATATCCAGAATTGGACACATTAATTCCTTCCCATAATCTCTTCCTTTGTTCTCTGAATTATACTATCTTTCACTCATTTGAACAAGTCAGTACTTTGGAAATTAAGTTTGATCCCTGCGTTCTATTTTCTTATCAAATTCAGTTAACTACGAAGTCATGCTGATTCTAATTCCTCAGTTTTTCACTTTCATTCTTTTTTGTTGCTGATCTGGATTGTAGCTGTAGGTCCTGTCTATGAGCTCACCCCTCTCTAATCCATTCTCTAAACTGCAACTAGTATTTCCCTAAAATACAGATGACTATTTGACTCCCTTGCTTAAAGCCATGTTTCCCATTCCCCTTGGGATGAAGTTCAGATTCCTTAACCTGATTTATAAGGCCAGCTATAATCTAGCCCCTTGCTTTAATATCTTGCCTCATATCTTGCCATTCTTCCACTTGTATTCTAACAGTGATTGTCCCTGCCTCCCACCATTGCTTCCTCCAACATGCTATGTTCTTTCTCATCTCTGGACCTTTGCACCTTCTATTCTCCTATGGAACAGCCTTCCTCTCTGCTCATCCCCTGTGGTGTACCTTCACCACCCCCACCCTCCCTCTGGCCCCAGCTTTTCTGACTAACTCCTATTCAAAAAGGATAAGAAAGCTTAGAGGCCACTTCTGGGAATCCTTCCTTCACCTACCAAGTCAATTAGGCCCTCCTATATATCCTGATAGCATCTTTATTTTCCTCTATCATTGTACTTATAGTGCATCTAACTCATTAATAATCCCCTCTTCCACAAGATTAAAATTTTTCATAAGGCAAGGATGCTGTCACCCTTGTGCATTAATAATCTCCCAGACCTAGCACAGTGCCTAGTGAAATTCATGGCTCTTAAGACCTCTTAATCTGTTTACATCTTTCTTTCCTGCCAAATCCCCCTACTTCTTGGTTTTACTCTTGCTCACCCACCCCCCCCCCCCAGTCTTCACACCATCTCTGATCTTAAACTAAACTACCAACTCATTTTTTAAATCTTTCTCTTTGTCTTTGTTCATTATATTCTTGTGTTTTTTTTTCTTTAACCTTTTACTTGCAATATCACAATTCTTCAAGGCTTAACTCAAAGCCCTTCTCAACTCCCGTAGGCAGAATTAATCACTCCCTCCCCTATAGTAATTTGTTCTTAGTTCCCAGTACATGCTTATCTTGTATTCCGATTAGTTGAGGATAAAGGTTGGTTTTGTTCATCTTTGTGTAACTAGGTATTATGAATGTAGTTGAATTTAATGTACATAGTCAACATTAATTTCTAGACTATTGTTTCCACATTGCTATTTAATATGCATCTCTGACAGTTTCAGATATTGTGGAGAACTCAGGTAGAGGCAATTTAGTGTAGTGAAGAGCATGGGATTTGAGACATCAGTATTTCAGGTGTACCATTTACTACTTGACTTTGGGGAAAATAAATGATCTTTACGTTAAAGGTATCTGTAAAATGGAAATAAAGATAATAGTTATTTTGCCTCCCTTATAGGATTGTGGTAAGAATTAAATGAAATCATGTATATGAAAATTCTCTACATTCTAAAATGTTATGTAAATGTTGATAGCTATTTGATTTCTCATGCATCTGCCCTACTTTTTATGTTTTCGTAGACCACGGCACAGCGTGGCAAGTTTAGAAAGCATTGTGAACGAAGCTAAGAACATTCCAGCCTTTCTACCCAATGTGCTGTCCCTGAAAGAAGCCTTACAGAAGGCTCGAGAATGGACAACTAAAGTGGAAGCTATTCAGGTAAGGAGTTTTTTGAATTCTCTTACCATTCAGATAATGCTATTTCACTAGTGAATCCTTAAAACGTTTAATTTTTTAGAATAGATATAATAAAATAATTACAGTACTTAAAATTCACTTGTTTTTGCAACTGATTTTATAATTCTAAATAAATATTACCGGTTTAAACATTACTTGTCTGTATTGACTCCCTGCTGTAAAAGATGACAGAATGAAGTAAGTGCTAGAGATAAAAGTTTGCTTGAATACATAATATTTCTTCTGAATTATACAAACCATTAGGGCATGCACAGTACTCAGGATATAAGTGCTCTTTCTTATAGAGCTATACTCAAAGGAAACCAACTCTCTTCTACTGAACTGCTGCACAAAGAAAGAACATATTCTAGGTGTCAAGTTCTAATGACTTTTTTTTTTACTTCCTTTTCAGTTGACTTTTTTTCTAGGACCTGCTTAGATACCTTTCTATGCTGTTTTTAAAATTATCTCTTACTTCATCAGGAAAGCTCCTCCATTTCACCTTTGACCTATTTCAGCAATTGATTGTCCTTAAATGTCTGATAATCCTTACTTGGCTGTTTATTTATGAAAGAAGGACTTAGTCAGGAAGTACAGGTAGCTATCTTGGTTCCCTCTAATTTTGAAGGACTTTTCCTCCACCGAGCCCTTTCCTTCAGTGGGAGGACTGACTTGTAGACTCTAAATAAGTGGACAGCTCTGTTCACAGGCAAACTCTTCTTTAGGATACATAGCTTGGGAGCAGGCTCTATCTAGGCTTAGCCAGAAGGTATTCTGTAGTCAAATGGCTATAGTTGGCTACAGAGAGATTAGCAGTAATTAAGGTATTTCTTGACCTATCTGTATCTAGGTTTTATCTTTCAATTAGCTGCCTTCTCTTATTCTAACACCATTCCAATTTAATTATACCATTTTAATATCTCAGGATGAGAACCTTATTATTCTTTTCCAAAGTTTCCTGCATGTTTATTTTCCCATGTTTCAGTATAACTTTCAAAATGAATTTGTAGGCAAATGAGTCAGTTAATACATGGGAAATAACCTTTTAAAATATATATTATTGATTTCTGAGAGGAAGGGAGAGAGAGATAGAAACATCAATGAGAGAGAATCATTGATCGGCT